TTATTGTTTAGAATTTTTCCCTACTGATTTTCTGATTGATAACACCAGAAAGTTTGAATTAATTTGAGAAACTTGGATAGTCAGGACTTTGCTAGTTCTTCAACAACAAAGAAAAGTGGGGGGCCAGGGAAAACAGGTGGATAGTGTTCCAAGTCCATGGGAGTGGCTCATGCCTCTCCAAGGGGAGTGGGCTGACCCTGGAGCTCCAGCCAGGGAAACAGCCACCCACATGGCTGCAGGTTCTACCCAAATAGCTCTGAAACGCCTCAAAAAATGCCAGACTAAAATCACAGAAGGAAATGTATGCAGTTTGAATGATTTAGGAGAATAGACTAAGTGAAAGTTGGAATCAATACAGAAAAATATCTAAACATATTTATATTTCTTTTTTTAAATAACAGCTTTATTGAGCTATAATTCATCTAACATATAATTTATAAATTTAAAGTGTACAATATAGTTTTAGTCTATTCACAGAGTTGTACAACCATCAGTCACCAAAATAAATTTTAAAACAGTTTTATTACCCCAAAAGAAATCCAAACCTATTAGCTAACATCACCCGAGCTTTCCATCTCCTCCTGTCCTAGGCAACCACTGAGCTACTTCTGTCTGTATAGATTTGCCTATTCTGGGCGTTTTCTATAAATGAATTCATACAATATGTGGTTTCTGTGACTGATGTTTTTCACTTAGCCTAATGTTTCCAAGGTTTATTGGTGAATAATATTCCTTTTTAGCAATGCTATCTATTCATCAGTTAATTTGGTTATTTCCACTTTTGGGTTATTACAAATAATGCTGCTTTGAACATTTGTATATACGTTTTTAAATACACACTTGTTTTCATTTCTCTTGGATATATACCTAGGAGTGAATCATGTTAACCCTATGTTTAATCTTTTGAGGAACTGCCAGGCTGTTTTCCAAAGTGACTGCACCATTTTACATTCCCACTAACATGTTTTCCATATCCCCATCAATATTTGTTATGATGTGTTTTTTAAATTATAGCCATCCTAGTGGATGAGAAATGGTATTTTATTGATTTACATTTTTGTAATCACTAATTATAAATTGCATTTTTGTACAAGATGTTAGCCAACATGTATGCCATTCAAAAAGCAACATCAGATGTCTAAGCTAAAAGTTGAATAGTTTTTACCTAAAACATTTTCTCCACTATGAAAATTCTTATTTCATTTTATATACTTAATATTCCATAGTTATTTCTTTCCCCTGGATTTGTCATGTGGGAATGGACTTACAGTGTATTGCGTTATTAATTATATCTTTTCTGGTGGCATGATACTCTTTTCTCCAGAAAAACTGTAGAAGATAAGGTCTATGCCTCTTATTTATTTTGAAACCTTATCAGGATCTAATACAAAATTGAATATGTAGTTTGAGCTCAATAAAGATTGGCTTATTGACTGATTCAGTTAATTGCTCATTTTTGCTGGGCTGATTTAAATTGTCTTAAAGTTAAAAAGAAAATAACTGAAGCAATATTGACAAAGAATAAACCTTTTTTTTTTAATCTGAGACAGAGTCTTGCTCTATCGCCCAGGCTGGGGTGCAGTGGCGCGATCTCTGTTCACTGCAAACTCCGCCTCCCGGGTTCACGCCATTCTCTTGCCTCAGTCTCCAGGGTAGCTGGAACTACAGGCTCCCGCCACCTCGCCCGGCTAATTTTGTTTTTGTGTTTTTGGTAGAGACCATGTTGGCCAGGATGGTCTCCATCTCCTGACCTCATGATCCGCCCGCCTCGGCCTCCCAAAGTACTAGGATTACAGGCGTGAGCCACCACGCCTGGCCAAAGAATAAATTTTACCAGTATTTGAGTAATTGAGATTTTACCAAATGAATTTTTAATTCATAGATTAACAGAATCTGTTGATGAAGTGAAACAGCATCTTTAAGATAACGGAATTGGACAATTCCCTGTGGTGGGGAGTGTGTTGCATGGGGCCGTGTGCTGCTGTTTCAGAGCGTTATGTGGGGAGTTTTTCTCATGTCGGCAAACAGGACAAATAAAATAACATAGATAGATTCCATTGGAAGATATTTGGAAGCTAACCAAGGAGCATATGAGCAAAAGTAGTTGTTTTTGTTGTTGTTGTTTTCGTTTGGTTTTTTTGAGACAGCATCTGGCTCGGTTGCCCAAGCTGGACTGCAATGATATGATCTCATTGAAACGTAGTTTTAAGGGAATGTAGTTTTAAGGGAATCAGTTTTCATTTGTTTGACTTCTCTATATGCTCTTTATCAAAATTAATTTATCTGGTAAATTAACAGATCACAGTTAACTGATCTGTGTCTGGTTTTCCTTTTTTTTTTTTCAAATTTGCTCCTTTCTGCTAGGCAAAGTGGCTCGTGCCTGTAATTTTAGTACGTTGAGAGGCCAAGGCGGGAGGATTGCTTGAAGCCAGGAGTTTAAGACTAGCTCTGACAACATAGTGAGACTCCATTTCTCCAAACAAAACAAAACAAAACAAACAACAACAACAACAAAAATGCTGGGCGTGGTTGTGTGTACCTGTGCTTCCAGGTACCCAGGAAGCTGAGGTGGGAGGATGGAGGATGGCTTAAACCTAGGAGGTCAAGGCTGCAGACTCCAGACTGGGAGACAGAAAAAGAACCTGTCTTAAAAAAAAAAAAAAAAAAAAAAAAAAAAAAAAAAAAGAAAAAACTTGCTCCTTTCCCATTTTATACAGAAATATAAAGAATTATAAAGACATGTAGCCCCATCCTGAACTTACCACACTGCTGTACTCAGTAGTGCAAAAGCCTCCAGGAGGGAGAGTGGGGAAAGGAGAAATTACAATAGGACTGGCAGTAAAATCTTCTTCAATCAAAGTACATGAGCACTACCTCTAATCCAGCTCGTTAAAATAAACATTTCCAGTACATTATTCTTTTTATGTTTAGCAATTATTCACCAAAATTTGTGAACTATTTATAATTTCTTGATCAATTATGTACTATTATTACAGTTTAAAATTTATTTTTAATTGATAAATAACATGTACTATTACTGTTTTTTAATAGTAATTACTATTATTTATTATTGTGTACTACTAATAATTAAAACAATACTCCAGAAGGAAACATATATTTCTTAGGTGTTATTATCATAGGCAGCATAAAGTAATTTCATTTTATAGACATATTTTTGTGGCAGAGAAATATGCTAAGGTGATCAAAAATACTTTTAGCATTAAATATAGACTGTATAAAGAAAATGGGGCACATGTACACCATGGAACACTATGCGACCATAAAAAATAATGAGTTTGTGTCCTTTGCAGGGACATGGATGAAGCTGGAAACCATCATTCTTAGCAAACTAACACAAGAACAGAAACCAAACACCGCATGTTCTGACTCATAAGTGGGAACTGAACAATCAGAATTCATGGACACAGGGAGGGGAACATCACACACCAGGGCCTGTCAGAGAGTGGGGGACAAGGGGAGGGATAGCATTAGGAGAAGTACCTAATGTAGATGATGGGTTGATGGGTGCAGCAAACCACCATGGCACATGTATACCTATGTAACAAACCTGCATGTTCTGCACATGTATCCCAGAACTTAAAGTACAATAAAAATTACTTTAAAATAATATTCTATTATAGATTTTGTAGGAGAAATCACATAGAATAATTGTTTTGAGGATAAAAAGGACCAAGTCAAATTTTTGATACTTGAAGAGTTGATCACGTATTTGCTCATATGTTTATAAAATAGATGATGATGGCATTATATTGATGTAATATTTATATTTTATTGGCTATACTTAAAAGGGTAATGCTAGTATTTATAATATTCTGGAAATTTCTGTCTGTGCAGCTATTTAAACTGTGATGAAGAAGATATTTTATATGTCAACCTAGAAATTTACAAAGGGGCATGTTTTTCCAAACTCAGTGGATATTGAAAATAAAAATAAAACCTTGCTATGGACCAAGATAGGATACTTTCCAACCCCTCAGGTTTCTTTTCTGTTACTTACTTTTCCATTTTATGCTGTCCATTATATTAATTTTGAACCTAATTTTATCTAAAACTCTTGGAATTGGGGGGAATGGGGGAGCAAATAGAACCTGCAGCTGTTTAGTCTCTGAGTGCATTCTGCTTCTGGAAGTGATCCCAGAAGATGCTTCTCAATGATTCCAGTGAGATGAGACTTGAACCAAGCCTGCTTTTCAGAACCTTCTTCGAGAGCCCTTGATTTCCCCCTCAGAGTGATTCTTATCATTTCTTAATCGTCTCGTCAATACAATAAAGGCAATTTAAAAGCATATTTTTCAAGTTAAAAGAAAAACCTAGTTATGCCTAAATTATAGCAGGTAAAACTTCAGAGAAGTGATTACATTCTAACATTATAAGAGTTGGAAGTTGGTAAGTATACTGCAATGTTTGTTTTGGCAGCTGAGAGGCAAAGCTTTAAACTTGGGTAAGATTTTCATATTTTCAAGCCAAATATGGTCAGTTTTTAACTCTTAATAATGTCCATCCATATATAGATCTCTGTTTATTGTGTGACTTGAATTTATTACTCATGCAAGCCACTCCTTCATGAGGCAGTGTGGGGTGTTCCTGCCCTTGACCCTTCTTTGTGGCTTGGCACTTGCCCTACCCCCTTTGGGGCACAGGATCATGATAAACTGGGCTAACAGGAGGAGATTTGGGGTGATATGGAGAAAGGAGACAGGGACTCTGTACACAGACAAAGTCCTGAATGGAAATGGGTGTTATCATTGAGGGGAGTGCAATGAGAGGGTATTTTCAAGGATGTGGGACAGGTAAGAGGAAGTACCAGCACCAGCCGGGGGCAGTTACCAACCATGGGCCTGAAGGGCAGAGTAAGGGCTGGTGACCTGAACCCAAAATTCACCTGATAGTGTGGCCTTCGGAAGAGAGATACAGATACTGGTGGGCCCTTGAAGGAAAAACTAAGATTCATTCTCCTTCTTTACTCTGATCTTTTGCAGGGCCTCTACTTGGCCAGACCCAGCTAGAAGACTAAGATCAGGGGCACTCTGGACGCAGCCCACAAGGCTAGCTCTCTGCGGCACTGAGCAAGGTAGGGAAGGATGGGGAGTGTATTTGCAGAGCAGTTGCAGAACGTCCAGCATGGTGAGGATAACAATACACTAGAGCTTTAAGAGGTGGCAGTGTAAGAGAAAGTAGTGTCTTGTAGCTGAATTATTTCTAGGTTTCTAAAGGAATTGGAGAGTATCATAAAAGGAATGTTTGTGTCTTCCCCAGTTTCATATGTTGAAGCCTTAACGCCCAATGTAATGGTATTAGGAGGTGGGCCCATTGGGCGATAATTAGGTTTAGATGATATCATGAAGGTAGAGTCCCCATGATGGGATTCATGTCCTTATAAGAAGAGGAAGAGACACAAGATTTTCGCCTCTGCTGTGTGATGATACAGTGAGAAGGCAGCCAGCCATGTGGTGAGCCAAGAGGAGAGCCTTCACCAGGAACCTGGCCATGCTGGTGCTCTGATCTTGAACTTCTCAGCCTCTAGGACTATGAGAAAATAAGTGTCTGTTGTTTAAGCCATCTAGTCTCTGATACTTTGTTGTTGCAGTCCAAGCTAAGAAAAGGAATCTAGAGGTCCCAGTGCTATCCTCTCTTCTTGTATGAGAACTGGAACCCTAGGGGAAGTAACAGAGGCAAAAAAGCACTTTGAAGACAGACATGGTGGGAATTGATAAACGAATTGATAGAGACAGAAATGAACTGTTTTGTTTTATTCTCTGAGGACTCTGCTCATCACCCAATAGCACCATTTTCTTTCTCAGAATGGATTCTTTCCCCTATCTTTCTAATCATTAGAGGTGTAGCTAAGACATTACATATATGCATACGTATAATATGTATATGTGTATATATGAATGCATTATGTGAATATGAATAATTGTATTGAATTTTAACTTAAAATGGTAGATTTTATTTAAAGTATTATAAAAGTTCCTATATTCATATTACTTCAAAATCTTATGCTGTATTATCAAAACCATATCATTCAAAATGATATTTAACTTGTTTGATACTATTAATGTAATAGTGTCAGATTAAAACTTACCACTATTTATTCTCACATATATATACTTATAAATAATTTAAAAAGTAACAACAAGCAAGGAAATATAATTCCCATAGATATCATTGAAATAGGGTCAATAATAACATAATGAACTTATTTATACTTGAATAAATATATGTTGTTATAATTTTTTTCTTTAGAAAGTGGATTTAATAGAAAAGGAAGAAAGTGTAATTTTCTCTTTAGAAAGTGGATTTAATAGAAAAGGAGGAAACATTGTTAAGAAGGCCCTCCAATTATGATTTTCTGAATATTCTCTCTCCATTGGAGAGAGAAACCAAAGGTATGTTTGTGAGGATGTATACTATAGACCTCTTATCCTGAAGGGAGCTGTGAATAATAGTAGCACTAAGGCAAGACATAGTTGAGAAGCAGGAGTTTCAAATGTTTGGACAGCTGGTGGAGGAGTTAGTCTACTAAAAGCAGAGTGTTTGCTGAAATTTTCATTTATAAGAAGAAAGTATATATATTGAGGGAAGCAGTGTTCTGGTCTTCTTTCAAACTAATCAGAAAGAGCAGGTTCAAAACTTGGAAGTAAGGGAGAACCTTAAGTGAACCCCTCATAATCATAAAAGTGAAGCAGTTGTTTACTTGGACAGCAGATTACAGGAAGGAGAAACTAAGCGTGGTCAACTGACTAGAAACAGCAAGACACGATAGATCACAATGGAAGTGAAAAACAGGAGAAAACTAAATAAACCAATGTTTATTGCACATCAAATTACCATACTAAGCACACATGTCCATATCAAATGGAAGAACACAAACATAACCTAAGACAAATGAAGCAAGAGTTAGGAAGACTAGAGACTAAAATAAAATGAAGCTTGAGAAAAGGGCTGGGAACACAATTTAAAAATTAGCAAAGGGTAAGTATTTAAAGCTGAATTTGGTGCAAGGTGATAAACAAAAGTGAAATCATCTGCCTGATAGACTGTGGCATGTTAATGAATGCTAGAGAGCAGGCTGAACTGTCAGGATCCTGTTTTCATCTGTAAATTCCAAAAAAAAAAAAAAAAACTTTAGAGGTTGTTGAAGCCTTTGATAAATGAAGAGAAAGTATGGTTGTGAGAATAGGAGTTTGAAAACTTTTTACTATATTTTTAAGCCATAATCACATGTAGTAAAATGCACAGATCTCAAGGGTAGAGCTTGATGGATCCTGACAAATGTCTACAACTGGGTAATCATCACTCTAATCAACATACAGAACACTGCCATCATTTTCGAATGTTCCTTTGTACACCCTTCCAGTCCACTGCCATCCACTCTCCCCTGCTAAGGAAGTGACAGTTCTATCACCATTGATTAGGATGACTGATTGGTTCTTGATCTACATATAAACGGAATCTGACAGCATATATAGTCTTTTTGTCTGGCTTCTTTGCTTAACATAATGTTCTGTAGCTTTACCCACACTGCTGTAGGAAGAGCTGGTTTGATTCCCATCTCAAATACTCTAGTCACGTGACCCCCGACAGCATTCAAGCTCCTAAAGAACAGGAAGTTTTATCTGTTTTGTTCAATGCCTCATCCCCAGTGCTTAGAATAGAACCTGACACATAGTAAGTGCTCATGTTTTCAACTATAAGATGAAAATAAAAGTAATAATCATTCTCAACTATAAAATGAAAATAAAAGTAATAATCTATATATATAAGTATATATATCTATACTATATATAGGTTATATATACTACATATATAGAAGGGGGATAGGGGAACAGTGAAGTATAAGGAAATAGGGTGATCTGGAAGTGTGGGTTAAGAAGGAGCCGGTTTTCTGGGAGTTGAAATAAATGAAATAGGAAGTGGCTGGAAGAGACTCACATATGCTTTATGGCGAGTGAAATTAATTGAACCATGAGATGAGGAATATACTTAATTATATAGAATTTGAACCTTTAGGGTTTTTTCAATGTAACAAAATGAATGTGCACTTAAAATGCTTGGCGGAATGTGCTATCCTAGAATCTGGAGGTCATCAAAGAGAATTATAAGGGGAAAAAATTACAAATCTATTCCAGTTGTATGAGAAAAGTCTTAAGTGGAAGTTTGGTGAAGGAAAGTCTTGAAAAGTTTAAGGGAACTATTTGTTATTTCCTTATTTTTTTGTATGTTTTAAAAAAGTTTTACTAGCATTCACATGGACTTAGCTACATTTTCTGAAGATTATTCTATATCTCATGTATTTTTTTGGCATGTAGGTTTATTCCCCAGTCCACAAAGGAAGTGTATCTTGAAATGATTTGCAAGTGCAAACTTGGTCATGGACCTTTTATCATTACATTTATGCAATTTAGGGTTGTGATAAATGACTTTATAAGGCAAGTTCATCTCATTGTGCCCTGGAACAAAGGATTTCCTAATTATGCTCTTGTTTTCCTAGTTTTTTAGTGATCATAGAGTAATTGTACTGATGACTTTTTTTTTTTCCAAAACATGATTATTATCAATTAAATTATTTTGTTTTCTTAGTATGATTGTACTAAGCTTACTCACATTTAAGAGGAAATACATTGTTACAAATTTTCATTTTATCGGTGTAATTAAATTTTAATCAATGACTTTGATAAAGTCATTTACTTGAATAAATGACTGTAGCTTTTTGGAGCTTATATGTACCAAATCATGGCTAACATTAATAGGAGGGGCATTATTGAAAAAATTCTTATGGCTGGGTGTGGTGGTGCACGCCTGTAGTCCCATCTACTTGGATAGCTGAGGTGGGAGGATCGCTTGAAGCCAGAAGTTTGAGTCAAGCCTGTACAACATAGTAAGACCTCATCTCTAAATAAAACAAAAGATGATTATGAATTGTAAATATTCTGTAAGCTGTGTAAATGCTTTGCAAAATAGATGTTAGATGCTCTTCTGCATATTTTACATAGCATAGTAGAGTTTGATATTTATCTACTTTAATTATTGGCATTGTAGAATTTATTATATAGTTCCCCAGGTTATTTTCTGTGGTATATTTTCTTGAGCATATTTTTCACAATTTTTTTTTGCCTTCTAACTTGTGCATGCTATGGCTCATTATACTCATTTATGTTAAAATGACATCTTAGTGAGCATCTAAATTGCTTACTTTTTGTTGTTGTTGGTTTTTGGGGGATGGAGTCTTACTCTTGTCACTCAGGCTGCAGTGCAGTGGTGCGATCTCAGGTCACTGCAACCTCCATCTCCTGGGTTCCAGCAATTCTCCCACCTTGGCCTCCCAAAGTGCTGGGATTACAGGCGTGTGCCACTGCACCCAGCCTAAGTTGCTTACTTTAAGTGTCTTAAAATGGTAATTATTATAAGATACGTCAGAATCCTTTGGATTTTGAAAATACTAAAGGAATTTAAAAGAGTAAAATGTGTACATTATAAACTATAAGTTATGTAGGTACCATTTTGATGGCTTCTGAAATTTCAGTGAGTTTTTAATGGCCTATTAAAAGGTATTTTTCACTGTCTGGATTGTGATGCAGATATTCTTGGAATATAAAACATTCCATAGCCTCCCTTTCACCCCCAGTCAAAACACAGACATGCACACTTGCACATGAACACACACACGTGCGCGCACACACACACACATACTCACACACCAATAAGTCTATGTCCTGTTGCTGTGCATGCAGCATCTGTTTTGCCAGCAAGCTCTAAATTTGGTTGAAGGCAGGGATCACAGAAAATGGGCCAACCAGGAAGATGGAAGGGATGGCATGGAATATACTCCCAGCCTAGCTCTTTGGACTGGAATTGGACCTTTGGGGTTAGAACAGAAAAGCATGTTTGGAAAACCTGTTTGCATGAAAGATTTTGTAATATTATGGACATATTGGAGATACTTTGAGACTCATTCCTGCTTGACTCTTCATAGAGTCCAGTTCTGCTTTGGAATCCCAAAGTGTAATGGTTTTGAGATCTTTAGGATTCAGCATTCATGGCACAGATTTTGTGTTGGTATCACCGTCA